GGCTCCCTGCTCAGCGGGGAGTCTGCTTCTCCCTCTCCCAACCCCCCTGCTTGTGCTCCTGCTCTCACTGTCTCTCTTTCTCTGTCAAATAAATAAATAAAATCTTTAAAAAAAAAAGAAAGAAAAAGAAACTGAAGCACAGAGAGGTCAAATAACCCACCTAAAGTCATATACATAGCAAGATATAGAACCCAGGTCTGATGCAAATCCCCTGGGTTTTTTGTTTTTTTTTTAAGATTTTATTTATTTATTTGAAAGAGAGCACAAGCAGGAGGAGCAGCAGAGGGAGAGGGAGAAGCAGGCTCCCCATGGGAATCTGACCTGGGCTTGACCCCAGGACTCCAGGACCATGACCTGAGCCGAAGGCAGACACCTAACCAACTGAGCCATCCAGGCACCCCCCTGGGTTTTTCTTACAAATGTAAAGTATTAACACTTCCAGACAGGCTGGACAAAGATGGTCACAAGACTACATATGATTAGATGCCAAGAGATAATACCAGGTAGCTCAGAAAATAAACAGTCACTTTAGCCAAAGTAGTCAGAGAAGTTTTATGGAAAAGATGAGACCTGAGCTGGGTGTTGAAGGATGGAGCATTTGGATAGGTGGTGAGAAGGGTGAGGGCACTTCAAGTGAGGGCAGAGGGGAAGAATAAAATCAGTAACAAAGGCAGGCAGCAGTGGCATCAGACTTGGAGAGGCCCTATCTGCCCTTTTATCTTTAGGTGATGCCCTAATGACACATTTACATGGACTCTCCTGTAGTATGGAAGGGTGGGAAACAGTATTCCTTGAAAACTTATGCCTCCCTTTCAGCAGTCCTCAGAATCAAAGCAAATAGAGCAGGAGCATGGAGTCACCAATCTGACCATCTTTAACAGTGGAATTTTGAAACTTCCTGATTTTTTTTCTATTATCCTTTCACCATATCTGGCTAAATTCTCATAATTAAACTAAGGTGAGTATTAGTGAGTTATTTCATAAAGTAAGGCTTAAGCCATTAAGGAAACAAGCCTAAAGATATTCAGGGACCACCCCAAGATAACTACTGGTAGATCCATGAGCAGCAAAGATCATGCTGACCTATATATCATGGACATAAATATTCTACAATTAATGCCTAAAATAAAATTTTAACATAAATTGCTGAAAGTAAGTCATCATTCTGAGCACCATTATACAACCAAAAGAACACAACTGAAATCTGTTAAGAGGGAAAGGGAAGACCAAGGAATGCATTTATCGTGATTCAGACGGTTTTACTGCAGTCGTTTAAGGTTTTGTAAGTAAAAATTTAGTATATTACCCTTTTCCTATCGCTAAGTAGCCTCACATCCCAATCAGGTCACGGAGTCAGAATGGTATACTTAGAAAACACTCTGAAAGCGCAAAAATAAAATGACCCGCTCAAGGTCAGACAGATTATCCGAGATTCCCACTGCGGGGCTCTTCTCTTTCCAGGCCAATGGGCGGCGAGGGTGGCTGGTGGAGGGGGCTGGGCCCACGGGTAAGCGCCTCCGAGTGCGCCCGGAAAGGAGTGGAGGGAACACAACCCTTGACTACAAGACGCCGCGTGTGCTGCCGGGAGAGCCTTGTTCTCGCTGGTGTCTCATACCCGGATGTCTGCAGAGGCGGTGATAGCCGGGCTGCCACCTCCCAGCTCTACTCTCCCCACCACCTCCGCCGCGCCCAACGTGCGTGGAGCCTACGTTACCTTTCCCAGAGCTCCGTTCATCCTTTGCTGCTGCGGCCGGTAACTGTGTGTAAGCTGAAGACCCGCCCAACCTGCAGCGATCCCCGGGCGTCTGAAAACACTGACGGAACGCCTCAACCGTGTCCAGTAACAATATGCGACCGAGACGCACTCAATCCCCGCAGCACCTTGGTTCCGGTAGCTTCTGAGACTCAGTAGCTAGAAAACTCTCCAGACTCCGCCCTCGCTACAGCTTAAGTGTCACCTTCACAGCAATTCTTCCAGGCAGAATTAATTGCCACCTCTGTGTTGTCCCCATGCTTTGCACACGATTCTGCTATGTCAACCACCATACTGTGTATTATTTGTTACTGTCTCTTTCACATGTTTGACTGTGAGTTCCCCAAGGACTGAGATCCTGATTAATTCATTCCAGTAGCTAGCACAGGACATGGAGATCAGACTTCTAACCTTGATTTAAAAGCTGATTGGCCCTAAGTGAGCTTTTCTGACAGTCAATTGCCTCATAATAATTGATAATAACTACTTTCTACTGACTGACCATTATGTGCAATGCATTATGCTCAGAGCATCACTTAATTTTTTCCTCACAAGCCTGTTAGTGAAATATTATCACTTGATTTTACATATAAAGATATTCTGAGAGGTTAAGAGACTTGTCTGGGGCCAACCAACTGAAGCAGAGCCCAGTTTCAAACTCAGTCTCCTTTACGCAAAGGACACACCTCTTCTCATATGAGATAGTAATGTCACTGCACATTCAATTACTTACTTTAAACACATTAACCATTTACTTAGCATGACTTTGTGCCAGTCCTTTGATTGAATCTTGGGAATACAGAGATGAATAATACATGGTCCCTGCCCTTAAGTGGCTCATAGAGAATTTCATCAAACTAAAAAGCTTCTGTGCTGCAAAGGAAACAATCAACAGAGTGAAGAGACAACCTAAAGAATGGGAGAAAACAGTTGCAAACCATACATCTGTTAAGGGGTTAATATCCAAAGTATATAAGGAATTTAACTCAATAGCAAGAAAACAAGCAACTCGATTTTAAAATGGGCAAAGCCATTTGCCGCAACGTGGATGGACCTAGAGGATATTATGCTAAGTGAAATTAGTCAGAAAGAGAAAGACAACTATCATATGATTTCACTTATATGTGGAATCTAAAAAACAAAACAGACTCTTAAATATGGAGAACAAATTGGTGGTCCAGAGGGGAGGTGGGTGTGGATGGGCGAAATAGGTGAAGGGGATTAAGAGGTACAAATTTAGGTTCTAAAATAAGTCACAGAGGGACGCCTGGGTGGCTCAATCAGTTAAGCATCTGCCTTCCGCTCAGGTCATGATCCCAGCATCCTGGGATCAAGTCCTGCATCTGGCTCCTTGCTCAGCAGGGAGCCTGCTTCTCCCTCT